GCTGCACAAGCGCAGGGACCCGAGTTCGATCTCCGGTACCAAAAAACAAAAAAAAAAATAAAAATAAAAAAAAATAAAAAGATAGACGAAATGGGCCGGGCATTTAGCTCAGTGGTGCCGCCACCTGCCTTGCAAGTGTAAGGTCCCAAGTTCAGTCCCTGGTACCAAAAGGAAAAAAAAACACCAAAAAGATAGAAAAGAGTTGAATGTTTTTACCATAAAGATATAATAAATATTTGAGGAGATAAATATGTTTAACTGATTTAAACACTGAGCAATGTATACCTGTATTGAAATATCACATGGTACCCCATCAATATGTACAATTTTTATGTGACTGTGTATTAGTTTAAAAATAAAATTAGAGCCAAGTGTGGTGGTGTATGCCTGTAACCACAGGACTCTGGGTGGCTGAGGCAGGAGGATTGCAAGTTTGAGCCTGGGCAATTTATTGATTTCATGAGTCTGGGGATATGGCTCAGTGCAAAGACCCTGGGTTCAATCCCTAGTACCACCAAAGGCTGGAAGGAACAAAAGGAAGAAGGGAGGAAGAGATGAAATGAAAGGCTGGAGCTGGAGCTCAGTGGTCGTGTGCTTGCCTAGCATGGGCAAGGCTCTAAGTTCCATCCCCACCACCATACACTCACATAAATTTAAGTTTTAGCAAATCATCACTCTTTGCCTAGTGACATCCTTATTGTACTTTTGTTCTGTTTCTGAGAGAGATGATGTTGCTATATTGCCCAGGCTGGTCCTGAGCTGAGCTTAAGTGACCCTGCCTCAGCCTCCTAATAGTGGGACTATGTGCATGCCCCATTGCATCTACTAATTTCTGTCAAGGTCACAGTGAATCAGCACACTTATGGCAGAGCCAGAATAAAGAATACAAACATTCAAGTGAAAAACTTTTTTTTGTGGTACTGGGGATCGTACTCAGGACCTTGCGCTTACAAGGCAGATGCAGTCCCACTGAGCTAAATCCCTGGCCCTGAAAAACATTCTTGATGCATCACTGCACTGTGTCTTATTTCTAAGTGCCAGCTATAGGGCCAGCTCCCAAAATAATGTAGGAACATTTCACAATGAATAGGAAAATAACACAGATAGGGAAAGATTGAACTTCAAATATTCTGAAGTCCAGTTTGTTTCTTTAATGTATATGAAGTACACATTAACAAACTCCTGCTGATTGGAGCTTTACTTTAAGAAAGAATTGTGAGCTGGGCATGGTAGAACATGCCTTAATCCCAGCACTCTGGAGGTTAAGGCAGGAGGATCACCATGAGTTCAAGGCAGGCTTGGGCTGCAAAGCGAGACCCTGTCTCATAAAAACCAAAACCAAAATGAAACAAAAAAAGGAATTTTGAACTAGGCACTATAGCCCACACCTGTAATCCCAACTACTTGAGAGGCTGAGGCAGAAAGATTGCAAGATTGAGGCCAGCCTGGGGAACTCAGCCAGACACTGTTTCAAAATGAAAATAAAAGAGGACCGGGGATGTAGCTTAGTGGTACAGTGCTTGCCTAGCATATGCAAGGCCCTGGGTTCAATCCCCAATACTACTAAAAATAAGGGACAAATTTGTTGTTAGCAAACTATATACTGAGGGAAGCTGCAAATTGGTATTTTTTTTAATTTTCCAAAAAGTATAATATTCTAAATTAAAATTAGCATAGCTTATTGTTGACACAGTGTGATCAAGACTTCTGATCTTGAGGTGTTGGATTATCCTAGTGATTTTCTCATGACTTTTGATTTGCTTTAGTTGTGTTAATGTTCACCAGATGTACACCAAATTAAACTGATAATGCAATTTCTGGCATCACTTGCTTTTTATCCAAAGCAAAATGACTTGGTTCTGTACTTAGTTCAAATCCTATTCATTTACAGAGGCAAAGATGGCTTTGCAAAATTTAATATGTATTTAAGCAGCTACAAAAATTAATTTCTGGACTATTAGGTTGGCTCTTTTCTATTTCTGGTGCAATCATTGTGGAAGCAACTATGTTCTGAGTCTTACAGATCTCTCTGTTGCTTAGTTTGTTCTGCCCACCGGTTCTCCTCCCTGTCTCCCACTGTCTCACAGCATTTTCTTTTTTCTTTTTGCTCAGTTCCTTGTAATCTTTAGCGGTGGAAGCGGTATCTTTATTAGGATAAACAATTCGTTTAGAGCCTGGTGTGATAGTGTACACCTGTAATCCCAGCCCTGGAGGCTGAGGCAGGTAAATTCAAGGTCTAAACTAACAGGGAGATTTGTCTCAAAAAACAAAAACAAAAAAATACTTTTGTTATGTTATTTCAGCATATATTATCATATCCTTCTTAATATAAAGATAAACCTTGTTTGTAATCAAATTGGTACTAATTTCAAGTTATTAAATGACTTTAATGAGGAATTATTGAATTGTCACTTTAAATGCTTTTGTTGACTTTGTATTTTTGTAGAGAAGAAAACTACGTCTCAGCCCTGAGCACTGCAGTAACTTTTATGTGGAACAGTATGGGAAAATGTTTTTCCCAAATTTAACAGCTTACATGAGTTCTGGACCACTGGTTGCCATGATATTAGCTAGACACAATGCCATCTCTTACTGGAAAGAACTTTTGGGACCAAGTAATAGTTTGGTAGCTAAGGAGACACACCCAGACAGGTAACTTTCCTGGATTGGGGAAATTAAATCCATTTGTGAAAATGAAAAAAAAAATCTGATTTCATCATAATGATTGTTTTCTTTCATTTGGAAGTTTCCTTAAATCAACTTTTCTTTGGGTTAGAGGGAGGTACCTTTATATTTTAACCATTTCAATGTCTGTCATAATATCAAATACCAAGCCTCAGGGAAAGTCAGATTTGTGGTTGATTAGCCTTATTCTTTTCTCATCTTTGACTTAAACTGCCACTGAAGAAACACTTTTTTTTTTTTAGTGGTAGAATTGGAATGGTGCTTTAAAAGAATATTGGAAATACAAATTTTCAGTGATCACTAATGTCTAAAAACAAGACATTAAATTCTTACACTTTTGAATATAAATTGCTTTTTCACTTCTCACAAAACACCACCCCCTTTTCACCCAAAGAACTCCTATTATTCCTCCTGCAGAGTTAAATGCATTTGACCCTCATTTAGATCTCTCCATGGAAGCTTACGTTCAAAACAGATTGAAGCCTCTGTAAAGCCTCTGTACGTGAGAAGTGATAATGCTTTTGTAAAATTCCTAAGTCGCATGCCCTCATATAAAGTAAGAAAAGGATGTCAGGTTGGATGGGGATCATCATCTCTAATTCACTTCTAGTCTAAGGGCAATTTATGGCACAGACGACCTCAGGAATGCACTGCACGGGAGTAAAGACTTTGCTGCAGCAGAAAGAGAAATTCGTTTCATGTTTCCTAAAGGTAAGTTCAGGATGACTAATTTGTGACCAGCATCTCCTCATTGTTTGCTTTTTCTTTTATTTTGAAGATGTGGCTGGGAAAGAAAATAACAGTTTTCCTTGTCATATATTAATTTATTAAAAACTTGAAGCCACAAATGGGAAATTCAGCATATTCCTCAGAATTAGGGTTAAGGTTTTTTCAATGTAGTTAAGATTGACTTTCAACTCCCTATGTAGCTCAGGCTGGCCCTGAGCTATTCCCCTAGCCATTTTTTCCCCCAGCCTTTTTATTTTTTATTTTGAGACAAGTTCTTCTAACTTGCCCAGGCTGACCTTGACCTTGACCTTCTGATCCTCCTGCCTCAGCCTTTAGAGTAGTTTGAGTTCCAGGCATGAGGCACCACCCCTGCTCCTCCCTAACCCAATTCTGTTTTCCTTAAAAACAAGTCAAGTGTAGGGCTGGGGATTTAGCTCAGTGGTGCTACTGCCTGCCTCACAAGCCCAAGGTCCCAAGTTCAATTCCTGGTACCAAAGAGGAAAAAAAACAAACCTAAAAAACAAGTCAAATGTGGTGGTGCAGGCCTGTAATTCTAGCACTTAGGAGGTTGAGGCAGGAAAAGTGCTGCAAGTTCCAGACCAGCCTGAATTATATAGCAAGACCCTATCTCAAAAGGACAAAACAAAGCAAAACAAAACTTTAATAGGAAAACTTGGTTCTGGTGTTTTGTAACACAATAGGTTAGCTATAGTTTACAATAATATTTCAAAATAACTAGAGGAGTCTAAAGATTCCCAACACATAGAAATAATAAATATATTTTTTAACTTTTTAATTTTACTTTTTTTTTGCTTAAATTCTTTTATTGGTACATTGTAGGTATACAATACGTTTACATTTATCATTGGTTGCTTGTACCTGTACATGATGTATATTGGTTCTTATTTTTCCCCCATTCCCTGTGCTCCCTTCCCTATTTACAAAGACTTTGTTTCCATTTTTTCCTTTTCTCATAATTTTTCCTTTCCCTTCTTTCCTTTCCCCTTCCCCTCCCACTTCCCCTTCCCCTTTGGACCTTTTCTTCCTATTTCAAACTATCAATTATTCATTTTAATCATTTTAGTCCTTATTTACACTTTCAGTTTCTCACACCAGAGAAACTATTCGGTATTTATACATGTGTGTCCTATTTATTTCACTTAAGAGCATGTCCTCAGTATGCATCCATTTAGCTATAAATGTCTCTAGTTTGTCATTCTTTATGGTGGAGTAGTACTCCATTTTATAAAAAAACCACATCTTCTTTATCCAGTTTCTAGTTGATGTATCCAGTTATTGTACTCTACCCCATAAATTTGTACAAATAGTGCATGTCAACTAAAAAACAATATAGAAGGCATTTATATAAAATTCTAGGGAACTGTAGTGTCAGAAGGCCAATCAATAAACTGGTGTGTTGGGCTGGGGATTTAGCTCAGTGGTTCCACCATCTGCCTGACAAGCTCAAGGACCTGAGTTCGATCCCCGGTACCAAAAATAAATAAAAAATAAATAAATAAACTGGTGTGTCAAACATCTATGGTCCCAGTAGCTTAGGAGGCTGTGACAAGAGGGTCACTTGGGCTCAGAAATCTGAGAACAGCCTGCGTAACACAGTGAGACCCTATCTCAAAATGAATGAGAATTTTTTGTTTTTCTGGGTTTTTTTGAGACAAGGTCTCGCTGTGTAGTTCAGGCTGGCCTTGATCTCACAGCAGTACTCCTGCCTCAGCCTCTCAAGTGCCAGGGTTACAGTTGTGCACTACCATGCCTGGCTTGAATGATTATTGTTTATTTAAAAATTTGGGTGTGGTGGTATATGCCTATGATCACCACACTCTGAGAAGTTGAGGCAGAAGGATTGCAAATTTGACCAGTTAGTGAGACCCTGTCTCAAGATAAAAAAAATTATTTAATTATTTATTTATTTATTTATTTTTTGGTACCGGGGATGGAACTTGGGTCTTTGCGCTTGCTCAGCAGGTGGCGAAACCACTGAGCTAAATCCCCGGCCAAAAAAATTTTTTTTAAAGGTCAAATTTTTTTTTTAAAAGGAGGCTAGGGCTGGGGATTTAGCACAGTGGCACCTGCCTGGCAAGCGCAAGGTTCTGAGTTTGATCCCCAGTACCAAAAAAAAAAGAGGCCAAAAGTGTTGCTTGGTGTGAAGGCTTTGGGTTCAATCCCCAGTTGAAAAAAAAAAAAAAAAAGTTAATCAGTAGTTGACTAAGGGAGGGGTTAGAGAGAGATGAACCGCACAGGGGCAGTTGGTGAGGGTTGCTGGGTAGTTGTTCTATATCTTGGTTGTAATGGTGGTTACATGATCGCATATAATTACCAAAATTCACCGAAAACCTTAAAATGTGTGAATTTTATTGTATAAAAATAAAGAGAAAAAAGTTAAAAAAAAAAGTTATCTTTTATGTATTACAAGCTCTTTAAGGCATCCTTTTTAATGACATAACCATATTTTATCGCTTAATATTTCCTTTAATGAGAATGTACTTGTATTTGTAGTGATTATTGAGCCCATTCCAATTGGACAAGCTGCTAAGGATTATTTAAATTTATATATAACACCAACTCTGCTTGAAGGACTCACAGAGCTTTGTAAGCAAAAACCAACGGATCCTTTTGTAAGAAATCTTTTTATTCTCACTAAAGAATACTGTCTGTAGTTTTTATGTTTAAAACATGTTTTTGAAATAATACATATTGGGAACCTTTTAAAAATAAGCATTTTCCAAAAACAATAACAACAACAAAAATAAAATAAAAATAAGCATTTTTATTTGTTTTTTTTGGTACTGGGGATCAAACTTGGGACCTTGATCTTGCAAGGCAAGTGGTGGAATCAATGAGCTAAATCCCC